TTATTCGATAATATAACCTATAATATGTACAAGGGGAATCCCCGAATTGCAAAAGCTCACTCTAAAAACAAATCACTGACATCTGGATGTGAAGAGTTAATTAAATTTTAACCCTTTAGTTCCTCTCCTGAGTTAACTCGGGCAGGTTACATAGCGTTACATAAAACACGGTCCTTAAGATTTTTGAAATTTTTTTTGAATTTTTGGAATGTTTTTTAGGTCCCCAAATTTTTTCAGAATTCTTTGCCCGCGCGAAAAAATTTTATCGCGATTTTAATCAACCTATAATGACGCGCGCTTTACGCTTTATTGCTTTTTAATGTTTTTTTAATGGGAGTTTTTTTATCAAAATTAATTAATCGTTCTAAAGTTGTAGTGCACCGATTTTCCTTCGGTAAAGTTATTTAAAGCTGCTTTCTGATGTCAAAAACGACCTCCGATAGTTTTTATTTTTTTTTAATTAATAGATTTTATTATATATAAGTTTAATTAATTAGGGGGGTCGGAAATCGCAATAAAAATTATAATTTTTTAAAAATATTTAAAAATATACGTTTAGTTCCTAGTCATTCTACTTTAAACCCTTTTCCTCCCGAGACGTCTATGAGAATGTTTCGGGAAATACGACACCAGCTGTTCTCAAGGTCATCCAGATGTGTAAATAATGACTCATCGGTGTTAAATTTCACAGAAAGGCGAGACAAAGGAAACTAAATGAAGCTTTTTAATCAAAATTAACGCATTTCTTTCGTTTTTTTCAGTTTTAAGTATTTTTTCCAGGAAAAGCATTTTATTCATTTCTTTTTAAGTGTTTGATTCATTTTTCCAATAAGAAGGTTCTTCTTCTTAATTATAAAAAGCCATTTTTCCAGCCCTGATTCGTTCTTTGATTTCTTTTTCACATCTGCCATCTCCCTGATTAATGCTGTCAAGATACCTAAAATGTTGAACTTGCTCTATTTTGTTTTCATCAATTAGGATTTTCAAATCTTTGCTAATTAGCCTTCCAACTTTCATCACTTTTGATTTAGCTGTGTTAACTTTCATTCTAAATTTTTTGCAAGTTTTGTTGAGTTTTGTTACCAAACATTGTAGAGTTTGTTCATTTGGTGCAAGTAAAGCAATATCATCTGCAAACCTAATACTTTGTATTAATTGGCCTCCAATTTTAATTCCGAGACTGTCCTCACTTATGGCTTCATTCATTAATTCCTCAAGATAAATGTTAAAAAGAGTAGGTGAAAGTGCCTTACTCCTTTTCCAATACTGCATGGTTTGCTTTCTCCAGTTTTTGTTCGGATAATGGCAGATTGATTCATATAAAGTGAAGCAATGAGTCTTCTATCTTTCCAATCTGTTCCTATTTTTCTTAAGATTTCCATTAGCTTTGTCCAGTTAACCATATCAAAAGCCTTTTCCATGTCAATAAAGCAAATGTTTCTTTCACAGATTGTTCTCAAGAGGCCAATGGCATCCCTTGTTCCTTTTCCTTTTCTGAATCCAAATTGTTCTTCACATAGAAATGTTTCAGCCTTGTTGTAGAGTCTTCTGTTAATGATTTTAAGAAGGATTTTTGAGGCATGTGAAATTAAAATAATTGTTCTAAAATCACTACACTTTTTAGCTTTTGCTTTCTTTGATATAGGTATCAAAAGAAAGCAAAAGCTAAAAAGTGTAGTGATTTTAGAACAATTAGTTTAATTTGCACTCTTTAGATCAAATGATAATGTTGCTATGTTCAAATTATGAAGCAGTTTACATAACTGAACAATGTTATTCTCACAGTTGTCACGAAAACTCCCATCATGACTATTATGTGATATAATTTAAAATAAAATAACTGAATTTCAAAAGAAACTCGTAAGAACACATTCATAAAATAAATAAATAAAGTAGTTATTCAACATTGTTAAATATTATGCTAATTAATATTAATATTCATAGATAAATGCTATCAAATGGATTATTTGTAACTGCATAACGTTCCCAAACAAGTGTAAACGCTTGAACCCTAATTTATAAGAGTTTTAAAGTTCGATAATTGAAAAAATATGTATAAAATTAAAACGATTTGTTTGCTCATTTTTACCAGCGAACAAAATATACTGGTTTATTATAAACTAACAATAAGTTAATTGAATACTTGGTATTGTCTGTTTTCTAGCAATTTTCTTCTAGAAGCCATGTTTTGGTAAATGAATGTGACAGTTTTGCAGAACCTTCCTTAAGGATTTCTCGTTTTGTTGCTTATCCAAGCTTTAAAAATCTGAAAAAAATGAAATATTAATATTGCATTACAAAAACTTTACGTTTAACTGTCTAATTTTATATTTCTTTTTCTGACTTTTGCTGTTTTCGCCTTAAGGGCATTAAAGGTAGCCTTTTTCTTTCATGCCCATTAAGAGTTAGGTTATGAGGAGGTCTCTAGTAATAGGCGAGTCCTAACAAAAACTGCGTATAAAAATTCTTGGAGTTCCTTTCCCTAATTCGATTCCAGGTCTCTACAGAAAGGTAGGCTGAAGCTTCAGTTTGCCCTTAATTAGTTCCTCATATGCGAGCTGTTTCAGGACAACAATTGGTTATGTCTACGTGATTTATACTCTTCCATAGGCTCATCTTGGTTCGCATTGATATGTGGAATTTTTAAACGAAGATTAAACAATTCCAATATTTCAATTTGTGCGGTTTACCGATTAAGAGCAGATTTATATTAACTTTAGAAAGAGAATCGTCGAGAATGATTTGTGTAGTTGCATTCAAGAGTAGAAACTTACCATATGGAACCAGAATTGTATACAGTTTCATTTTCATAGATGCCATTGTAAGTCTATGTCGTTGAATAGTAATAGAATGTCAGTGATTTAGAAAAGTTGAGAGATTTATAGTTGCTATTATTATCAATATGTAATATAAAGAGCTTCAATGAAATGTGAAATTTCTTTTATTAATAAAAAAAAATAAACTTTTGACGACAATTTTGATTTTGAGTTAAGTCTGAATTGTACTTCAAGCGAGAATAATTAAATAATTCATTAACAAAGTTAAATTTATAATAAAAATTTTACTTAAGAGAAAAGCTAATATCGTGCTTTAAAATGCAAATTAATTCAATGAAAGTAGATTAAAACTAGGAAAAAAGTTTCAGTACTAATAATTAATTAGAATTAAAAATCTTCAATTATTCCACTTTATTTAAGAAATTTTAAAAAGTTCTAAAAATGCTTTTATTGGTCGTGTTTATTGAGATTCAGGTGGCCCCCATCCCCACTATATACAGTCACTTCAATGCATTTAAACACAGACACATCACAAATTCTACAATTGATTATATTTATCGCGTTTCAGAGTTTGGAGAATTGTGTGAGTGGGGCCACTACCTAAAACATCATTAAAATGCATTTTCAGTCTTCTAACTTAATTAGAAGTAGATGAGATTTGAGTTGCAAGATTTGAGAAAATACAAAGCAAGTTAAATAAAAACGTTTAATATTTTAATTATTTATTTATAGCATACACAAACATCTCAAACACTCTAGAGTCGTGTGTCGTTCAATTGTAGTGAATTATCAAATACATTTCAAAATAGTCTCTAGAAACGATAAACGTTGGCATGTTTATGCCCTGCTAATTTATACAGTGACGCAATGAGCATTTCACTATTATTAACAATTTTTCTCATACTGTAAGTTAATGTTTCCTTTTATTTGTACACTGACAAAGCATCAATTAATTAGTATTCACAAGATTTCCGTGGAACACTGTAAATTTTATAATTTTAAATTTGATATTGTCCACGTTATACTTCCTGATTAAAAAAGGTGTATTCGGGAGAAATTTTACGACACAAAAGACTAGTAACAGATCTTTATATCACAACTTAGTAATCCGCTTATCGAATAAACAAACAATAATATTATATAACACAATATGCATAGCAAGTGATGAATATTATAATAACGATTTAATTTCTGAAGTCTTTCTTTTCTTTTGTAGAAACAAGGATAACTTTTCATATATCTTCGGTCATCACATCGATCGATTTAATTCTTTAGATGAGTCTCCCTGGAGAAAATATTCTTTAAAGAAACTTCATAAGTTTGACAAAAGAGATAAATTCGGTCGTTGTCGTAACTTATTCTATAAACTGTTGAGACAGTTTCTCAATACTTTAAGATAGAAAATTTTTGAAATTTTATGAGTATCTAAATTGAACTATTCCCTTATGTATTTTCTCGCTTCTCCGTATCTCACACTCAAAAGTTAGTTATAGTTTTCTTCTTTTATTTATTTACTTTTTAAAATGCATTAAAGCATTTTAAAAAGTAAAAACTCGAAAAATATTCGATATATCTTTTAAATAATGTTAACCAGTACCGTGCCGTCCATGGAAGCTGTGGAAGCACCGCTTCCTTTGTATTTTCTAAAATATAATTACATATTGTGCGATTATTTTCATATTTTACTATACTTTGAATTAATTAAAATTAATACAGTGGGTGATCGGTTAACTTACATAATCCGTTCCAACAGTTTGTTCGCTATCAGAATTGTACGTTAACAGATTATCGATTTAACATAGGTTATTATGGGAATTTGATTAATTTGTTCTGGAACTCCAAAAAATAAAAAAAATATATATATATATATATATATATACACTNAAATATATATATATATACTTTCTTACTGCGTTTATTTATGTGTAATAATAAAAATACAAATATACACAGTCTTGCATTTTTATTAGTCGTGTTTTTTCCGTTTGTGGGGGTTAAAGAATCTGTCAAATGTCGATTGCTTTTTTTCTCTTCTTCAGGATTTTTTAGAAGTAAATAATAGCATTGTAATTGTAGAGATCCCCAAGCCTATTAACTTCAACCTGGTTTGGATGCCAGATCGTGTTCTCTACAATTATCATCAACCCATCTTGATTAGGCCTATATATATGTAGATAAGTCTGAAATTACGTCAATTATGGACAAAGCATAACCTACAATGGGATCCTGCCAGGCATTGTGTATGTGTAACTAGACAGGAATCGGGGTTCTTGACTCCGTAGAAGGCTCACTGGCCCTATGAAATTTCTGCAATAATAAAACCAAAGTAAATTCTTTGCGGCATGTCAGTGGAAGCAGAATCCTAACACTGCTTAGTTACAAAATAGCAGCAAGAAACAGGTCTGTTATTTTCATTCCTGGTTCTTTTTTTGTGAGAATGAAGAGAGCCTTTTTTTTATTCACATCCTTTAAAAAATTATAGAAAGACTCTTGAATATTCTATCTTGAGCTACAAAGACAGTTTTTTTTAACTTTTCCGATGATCCATAAAAAAAGACGAATCAACAAAAGTGAATTTATTACCAAAAGTGAACAAGAGAAAAAAGTGTAATCAACAAAATGAATTTATTACCAAAAGTTAGGTACAAACATGGTTGCTTTTCTACATTATCACCGTGAAGATTGAGGTATTTGTCATATCTGTGGACGAGCTTTTCCATCCCCTTGTCATAAAATGTTGCCACCAATGACTTGAGATGGGCCCTAACGTTGTTTTGGAGATCGTCGTTAGTTGCGAATCTCTGCCCTCCTAGCCACTTTTTCAATTCAGGTAAGAGGTGGAAGTCGCTCGGCGCTAAATCGGGGCTATACGCTGGGTGTTTAAAGGTGGTGAACACTTCCATCTTTCAGATTTCCACCTGGCTTGAAACTTTTTAATGTGTGAAGACTTCCACCTCTTTCCTGAACTGAAATTGTGGCTAGCAGGGCAAAGTTTTGAGACTAATGACGATCTTCAAAACAACGTTGTTAAGGCCATCTCAACTCACTGGCGGCAACATTCTATGACAAGAGGATGGAAAAGCTCGTCCACAGATATGACAAATGCCTCAATCTTCACGGTAATTATGTCAAAAAGTAACCATGTTTGTACCTAACTTTTGGTAATAAATTCATTTTGTTCTTTACACTTGTCTTTTTTTATGAACCGTCGGAGGTTGAAAAAATAGCCCTCTTACTTTAATTTAGTGCGCTTGTTTTTTAGTGTGTTTAATTAATTCCATTATCATAATTATAAAAACGAGGTCTACTTCACTCTACACAGAAATTGAGTATGATCCACTTTACCCTTACACTTGGATTGAAATAAATGGTTTGAAAATATTTTTAAATATCATTATCATCACTCCCAATAAACCTAGTTGTTTTGGAATTATGGTCTGTCAGTTACAGGTTAATTGCACTGTAAAAAAGTATCTTAATTTAATTTTCTCTGTTAGTCTTTTAGAATAGTCTTTTAGAATAAATTAATTTGTTGTAACTGGTCCATTTTTCCACCACTTACCCCATTCTTTATCTAAATCATTAATCTAAATATATAAAATTACTTGTCCTGACTGATTGACTGAATGACTGACTGACTGATTCATCATCGCCCAGAGCAAAACCGCTGTACCTAAAGAGATGAAATTTGGTACAAAGTTAGGGTACGTCATGAAAACGCGCACTAAGAAGGGATTTTTCGAAATTCCTAGGCGGAGGGGAGAGGGAGAG